AATTTTTATAGTGTATTTTTTTAGTTTTGTTTTAATAGTTAGACTAGAATTTAGGGTTAGAGTTGTTAATAAAAGAGTTTTGGTAAGGCTTATGTTTTCAAATTGAGACCCCAAATTTCAACATCATTCGTAACATTATATATATTTCAAGAATAAATCAAATATGCATAAAATAAAGATGATAATATAATATTTATTAATAAATTTAAACTTATTAACAAAATGACTTTATAGTTAATGAACAAAAAATATACAAAAACCAAACAAATTTAAATATTAAATCCAAATTTAGATCTCTTGCTATAGGAAGTTTGTAGCACTGTGCGTTAGTATAAATTTTCTTAAAGATGGGTCAATGCGTGTGTATTAATACGTATTAGTTTTCATACGAGGATATTACTAGTAACCTGAACGCGCTTTGCTGATCTACATATACGTGTCTAAAAAGTAGCCAATCACAATGCAGAAAGCAGACACACAAGCCATTTAGTAATAATATAGAAAAGGGTTTAATTTGTGCAGAAAATATACATAATATGATCAAATAATCAAATGCATTACAAAAAAGACAAGTAAAAAAAATAAGAAATAATGGTCGGGTAAAAATAATGCGCGTTATGTTATTTTACTTATAGTAAGTAATATTAGAACATCTTTCAACAATCAATCTATTAAAACAAATATAGAATAATTTCATAAGAAACATTAATAAATACTATATATCTAAATAATTTAACAAGAAATTAAACCTACTTTGCAAATTCTTGTTTCTCCAAACACCCAACACTAGAAATTCCACGATCATTTAAAATATTCCTCAGTTCTTTAACTGGTTTTTGAATAAGTTCATCAAAAGATTCAGTAATAGGTGGAAGAGCAACCTTTTCAACCATTGGCTCTACCTGAGAAACAGCATTCTGCAATTCGGTCTCAAAATCTTGAGCCATTGGATGCCCTTGCCAAACTATTTTATTTTTAACCAAGATGTAAGCTGTTGGAATTCCACGAGCATTGCTTGGTGTGAAAATTGCTTTTTTTTTTTTAATGAATTAGTGACATAATTTGATCAAACAATAAACAGTTTAACCTCTCCAAATGCTCCCTTTATAAATGTATGAAATAGTCTCAGGTATATATCTTATTTATAAATTTTCTATATAAAAATACGGGTGGATCTCATTTCCTCGATAGCCATTTTACCTACAGCCATTTAAACGACATTACATGGGTGAGGAATAAAATTTTATTAGCTGCAGATATATATTAATAGTAAATTGTCACCCGTGATGGTGGTTAAATGGCTTTTAGATTAAATGACTGTCAGCAAAATGAGATGTTTCCTAAAAAAAATACATGTCCTCTTTAAAGGCGTGTTTTGTAATATTTGATTATATAATCCTGAGAATATGCATTTTGAGCGGTTAAAATATAAAAAATAACTTACATACCACTTTTAGCGGTTTCATTAGTATCAACCGCCACAGTATAATTCATTTTATCACCCATTCTGTTCACGAATTCTGTTATTTTCTAGATGTGAAAAAACAATTTGGCAATCTCGGTGATATGAAAATAAAAATAAAAGATTATAACCAAGAAAAAGGAAATATCATACAAACATCTACATCTTTCTCGTATGTAACACCTAAAATCGTAGCATTTTGAAACTTTTGTTGGACATCAGTCAAGTGCGGAATGCTTGATAATTAAGTAAATATGACCGTATTAATAGATGTAGTTGGATAGATTAAGTTAAAACAGTTACTCTAAGTAACATTAAGACTTTTAAATGAAAGTTTTATCCATCTAAGGAATTTTTGAAAAATCCACCCATTTTGAACAATAATTTCTTAAACAAATAACTATCCATTATCTGAGATAATTAAATATACTGGGGAAATTAATACCACCAATTTATCAATTCAAATTCAAATAATTTCATCAATAATTGTGAAATTATTATTACCATAAATTCTCGAAATATCGCCTAGGGGATAAATTACGAAATTGGCCTAAATTAGGCATAATTCGGGCCAAAACTCCAATAACGCTATTTTGAGAATTTACGGTACAAGTCATAGTTTGATTCTATAGTTATAATAACTTACGATGCTCTACATGGAGGACACCATGTAGCCCAAAACTCAACAACCAATA